ACTGTGCTTTCCAAACATGGAAATATGATGTCATGGAGCAGTGCTCTTTGGAAGAACAAGGACAATCAGCTTCAAGGCTCTCTGATAAAGGCATTGTCCTCCTGGCAGATTTCCATGATGTAGTGGAGTGAAATCTTAAAATCTCTTCCGTCAGGTAGAATTATCTCACAGCAGCTGAGTAATTGAGTTCCCATCCCAAAGTCTCTCAGCATTTTTTTGGGGGGGATGGGATCTGCCTGCTGTTTTATACGTATACATGTGCCAGAGATACTGGAGAAAATAGAAGTGCTGTGACAGAGTTTTACAAGATAAGAGTAAGAGAAATTGGCTGCTGTTTCTGAAATACATCCTAAGACATAAAAAGTATTCCCATGTAGATATTGCCAAAAAGACAGCATGTTGGTTTGGGCTTTATTTAATGTTGTTATCTTGTGAGAATTATGTAAAGATATTAAAAATAAGAGAAAAGTAAACTACAACGTTAGGCTTCAATAGAAGTTACATGTCTATAGACAACAGATGCAAAGCAAATAGCTTCAAGCCAAGTCAATAGAATTTGAGTGAGGTGTCCTGTTTATGATGTCCCAAGAAATCATAAATAAAGATGTGAGCCATAGAAGAGAAATCATGTTCTGCAGGCCTGGTTCCACCAGAATCCATGGAGCAGACATTTCTAATGTGACTGCTCTAGTGTCTCTCCCATAATGTCCAGCCCACGGGTTGGCTTGCATGTTCCATGCATTTTAATCACAGTGGCTGATCTCTGCTGAACTGGTTGGCTGAAAGTTTCATAGCAAAGAAACCACAGTCTTTTATTTGGAGCCCTCTCCATGGACAAAGAAGCAAGGAAAGCTAGAATTAGGCTTCCTGTAGAAGTCAAAATAAGAAAACTAACATTAGACAGTGGATGGCAAATTCAAATTTCAGGAGACAAGCACACATTTTAGGGTGGTTTCATTCACCTGTGCTAATCTGTGATTTCTCTGTTGACTTTTCCATTATATCCACTTTTTAATGCAAAATCAAAGGTTGCTTCTGTCTACAGTGTTCAAGTGACTTTGGTTGTCTTAACAGGAGAAAATCTTGAGGAGTTGGCTCATGTGGCATGAAATGTGCAGCAGGATAGTCAAATATTTTCAGAGATGAACATTTAAGTGACTACAAGAAGAGGAACAGTCTGCTGGTCCTGAACCACTCTTTGCTTATGAGTCCCTCAGGGAATGAGTGAATACACTTTCCTAGGGAAGAATCCTATTAATTTGTCAGTATCCAGGAAGGACTTTGTTGATTAAAGATAGGCATGAGTTCATGTGACTTGGAAGAAGACCCATCTTTTCAGGATTTCTAAGTTCTCAGAGTCTAGTAGCAGGGTGTGATCAAAGAGTGATGTCAAAGTTCCTATCTAACTCCAGATTTCCTCTCAAGCCATCTGCAGGGTGTGGTTTCAGTATCAGATAGAAAAAGTCAAACTTGGCTTTAGTTTGGAACTAGATAGGTTATCACAGTAGACAAGGCCAAGGAGTAATAACAAACAATACACTAACACCTGCTAGAGCATTATGGCAGTCTTAGGGAAAGTAAACTGCAGTCTCACTTTAAACCAAACGTTGAAGCATGGAATAAAATTTGTACACCTGGACAGTTTAGACAATTCTTTGAATGGCTAGAGGCATGAATAAAGAGTCACTGATCTGTCAGCCTCTGTTAGAAGAATTTCAGGGAGGAAATACAAGTTCTGAAATCCCAAAACCCCATTAGCTTTTGACAGTAATTAAACCTGATCAGAAATTACCTGGGCCTAACTGCCCAACTTTTTGCTACTGTTGCTAGTGATTAAACTAGCCTATCATAGAAACTTAAGGTTTGTGACCTTACAGGGTCACAAACTGCTTTCCAGATGGCTTTTTTTTTTTAATGAAGTAGTTTGGTTTGAATATTCCTCCTTGGAAGAGGTCCAAAAATATTTATTTTCATCCATTTGTTCCAGTGGGTGAGCCTTGGCAGAACCTGGCACAGCCAGGGATGGCATAGCAACCAAACCCTTTCTCTCAACAAATATAAACAAATAAACTGCTTGAAACAGTTTACCTAAGGACCCACCTTCACATGGCTCTTGGCTCCAGTGCTGTGGGCACTGGAGGGAACTGAGTCATGTTTATGGCAGAGGCATCCATCGTGCCACAGCTGCCATGTGAGCTCAGAGCTGAAAGCAGCATGGATGCAGCTGAAGTCTTTACAATTTGAGCAGCAGATGCCTTTCACCTCTGCTCAGCTTTGAGATGCTTGGAACCCTGCCACAGGTTTCCTGTGTACATTTGGGTGAGTCAGTTCACCTCTCCATCAGTATTTGTCTATACTCCAGGCTTTTAGGACTGTGGATTTTTTTTTTTCTGGGTAGAGGAACAGTTCCTCACTATCAGGTTGTTTCAATCATTACTGCAACCTAGATAAATTGTGACAGCTATTAGTTTCTCCTCACCATATGGTAAGTAAGAGACACCATCCAGTAGAGATGTACAATTTTCTAGAGTGAGGATTATGTTAACATGTATTTCACGGAACACTACATTCAAGACCTTCTGAGTTCCTAACACACCTACTTCAATGAGGCATTGTTCCTCTACATGGCTACTGGGAGTTGTTGCAACACATATAATTAAGAACAAGAAATGTTTACCTGGGGCTTAAAATTCTGCCGGCCCATAATATACTGCAAGCATTCTCCACCCATGTAAGTGCTCCCAGTGTTGCAAATGGGATGACACACTTCCCTTAGAAAAGTAGCAATGTTTATTTTAACAAAATTTGATAGTACGTGTGACAGTGCTATAACAAGCTTTGATGACAATGTTCACTTGGTTATTTGCTGCATAGAGAACAAGGTGGGACAAAACTGACAGAGACACCCTCATGTTGAGTTACGAGGTTCAGAAAGGACCACTTCGCATTCTAAACCCCTTTTTCAGGGGGTTTCCAGGTGTGGCTGGATCCAGACCTAGTTCCAGGCTGGGAATTTAGGTCTAAAGGATTATATGTGCACAAGCAATCTTTTATCTCACTTAGCTAAGATTTCAAAATTTCAGCATGCTTATTCCCCTTTCACTTACTATTTGATGCAATAAGGATTCTCTCAACCTCAAGCAGCATCCCTGTTCAAGGGGAGATCCTGGCATGCAGCCCACTGCTGTGCAGGAGAGCTCAGCAGACCCTAGGCTGTTCCCTATTTATGGAGCAAGATGATTGACTTATAGTAGTATTTGCATGCCAGCTGTATTTTGGTTGGCGCATGCTCAACTAGCCCTCAGCTGTTGAGTAAGTTTTATGACCCTCAGCTATTGTGTTGTTATCTGTCTTCCCAGAGTCCAGCTTTAAGCCAGGTGCAGCCCACACCACTGTTAGCTCTCATTTAAGCCAAAAGCAGTGGGAGCACACTGCCACACCCACTGAGCTCATCCTAACCGTCCCCGCTGTGTAGCATCTTCTTCTATATCATAAAACCATTGGAAGTTTTGCCACTGATTATACTGGCTGTTAGATCAGAAACCTTAGGTCAGTACCAGAGCATGCTAGTGATGAGAAAGATGTGTGATTTAGATGAAGAGAGAAGACTTTTCTCTCAGTCCCTCACAATGGTTCAGAAATCCATTGAAAATGTTAGCAAGAGGCCCTTTTATTTCCTCCTGGAAAAATCATGTGTATTTATTTCCTGTAATAAAATAGTCTAATGGTAGTAAAGAGTAAAGTTCTAGAAGGAAAAAATTGATTTCTCAGCTAATTGAGTAGAGAGGGGGAAATTATAAATCCCTGGTTGCCTATTACTTATTGACTAGCAACATTTGGCCACAGAAAGCAATATGAACACAGTTTTAACATGCAGGTGGCTACAAGAGAAGGGCTGTGCTGCATGTAAGCCCAGTGTCTCCTCAAAGTGGTTCACCCTACTTTTCCAATTAGATTGCAAAGTGAGTCAGACTGAAACCGTTGTTGATTGTCTGCTCTGCTTCAGATAGTTGCATGTTCTAGCTTTAGTTGCATGTTTTAGCTTTAGAAAGAAGTTTGTGTCAGCGTTTTCGGTTCCTTATAGTTACACTGTATTTTCAAAATAGTTTATGAGCTAAAAGTATGTTTCCCGAAGTTCAAACACTGGCACAAAAAATATCTCTTTCCTTACTGCTGCCACACTGAAGCAGGTGGTGAGTACTAAGACTCGGAACCAGTAAGCGTGTAATTATTCAATTTATGGGTGCAGAAAAGTAGCTGTTGGGTTAAAGCAGGCATCTACAAGACAGATTGTCATTCCAAGTTAGTTTGAGTTCCAGTCCCCTGCAGATACCCACTTAGGCTCCTGCAGTAGATCACATGAGCTGCACAGATGCCCTATTGCATTGCTAGCTCGAGTTTCACCCACAACCTCTGGCAGACCATCTACCTTAAGCTCAAAGTCTGTTCCATCTCTGTGGTTTGTATGTGTGAACAGTAATCAGATTAGGGATGACACCTAGGTTATGCCTTAGGTTAGTAAAGACAAAACTGCAAAATTCATCCTGCTCCAGATTATAATGATGCCACACAGCTCACGTGCATTCTCACTATGGAACCCGTAGTTTCTGTGGCACACAGACCGTGATGCAGTGTTATACAGGGGAGACAGATATGCTGCCTGTGATTAATGCAAATGGGTGAGTGCAGAGGAGCTATTTCAGTGCAAAATGATGTTGGAAAATGCTTGATTCTGCAACTTATGAAGCAACTTTTGCTCCCTCTGAAGTCAATAGAAGTTCATTTCGCTTTTCAAATTCACTTTGATTAACCTGGTCTTGACATCGTGGCACTTACCCTGTTGTAAAGAAAATTGGTAGCTGTGAAAGATCAAAGATTTTCTAATTTTAAGGTAGGAGCGAGTGTTTTCTGCTGATGAAAACCTTATCTTCATAATAAGCAATAATGCAATCTGATCATCTACCATTATTGAGTTTCCCTTTTTTTTTTTTTTTCTTAAGCTGAATTTACGTCACCTGTAGACAGAAATAAGGAAAGTGGACTGAAAATGCCAAACCTATGCAAATTTTGTGATATTAAAGTAACAACCTGCTCAAACCAACATCAGTGCAGGAGCAACTGCAACATCACTTCTATCTGTGAGAAGAGTAGTGAAGTCTGTGTTGCTATATGGTAAGTTATTTCTTCATAGAGGTGGGAGCAGGAGCACACCCTCATTCATCATTGCTTAGTATTTTCCTCAATTGCTCTGATATTCAGAATGTCCCTGCTACCTCACCAGGCTTTGCTCTCCTGCTTCCAACTCATATCTCTGCACAGCATACCGAGAGTTGCTTGAGGTTAACAATTCTGATATGAAATGTTCTGGGGACCTTTTTTTCTTCTAAAACAGTTCTGTTCCAGCTTAAGCTGTTATTGGAAAAAAGGCGTGGTTTTGTGCAAGCCGTTAAGCTGTATCCACCCATAGCACTCGAGTAGGAGCAGATTTGAGGCTCAAGAGAAGATTGTATTGACAGTTGCTGAACAAAGACAATTCTCTCTCAGGTTTCAAGGAAACTAGATTATGTTGATTTATCACAAGAGGCTTACTGCCATGTATAGGTAGAAATACTTCCTCTTAATTAGAAAAAACTTCCGTGTAGATAGAGACTTTGATGAAGGCATGGTGCTTTTTATGTAGCCTATGTCTACGTTCAAAGAAATCAGGAGTTGACGAAAATGAGTTGTAATACTTTTTAAGGATTTATTGGCTTTAAGCTTGTGTTCCAGTCTAAAAACTGAGGCTTCTCTTGCCCTTCCATAAATGGGAATCCAGTCCTACCAAAGAAAGCCAGAAGCACCCTTAGTAAGTTAATAACTGGACTAAAGGAACACAGCTGAGTGTTTGCAGCATTGCTGCTGACTTAGTAAAATAATTAGAACTAATTACAGAGGGTCATAACTAATTGATGTGCTGAGGGATTAGTTGTGCCCATTGACTTGAGATGTTCAACATAACTGGCATTTCAGTTCAGGATCAGTCCAGATCAGTGGGCTTTTCCATATTTGTCCTATGCTTCTTTAGTAAGTCATCAGTGTCTGTTATTGCCATAAAAACGAGCTGTTGGACAATTTAAGAAATATTTCGGATTTTTCATGACCAATTATCCAAAAGGCAAGCAAGCTGAGAGCTGTAAAGTGCTTTTTGCACTTTTGAGTCTTTTGACAATGAAATTAAATCTATAGATCAGGACAAAACACAGAAATATGGTCCAGATTATCAGATGTAAATATTTCCCTGACTGTGAGGCAGCTCTAACTTGCATCAGTTATTATGATTGGTATTTTGATGGGGTTTTTTTGGTTGGTTGAGGGTTTTTTTTGTATATAACTCCTTCAGTGCACAAACTCCGATGATTATAGGCTTCAAAAGCAAAATGAAAAGACCAACTTACTAGAAATTCCTCAGATTTTGAGGAAATAATTCAGTTTTTATCATAATTTCCCACAGATTTTTACTGTCTGCTCAATGACCACAAAAACCAAAAGTGTGTTCTGAAGTTCACAGCAGTTCATTGAGCATTAGCTTGAATATTCTAAGTGAGATTTTCAGAGGCACTCTTGTGAGCTTAGCGGTAATATGATACAGGAATAGCTGTGCCATTGTACAAATGTGGGGAGCCCAGACAGGGCCAAATTTACCCCATTCAGGAAAGACAGAGAAGAACATATGATGCTCTTTAAATGCCATTTATATTCTCAAAAGAGGCAAATTTTGGGCAGCCACAGTCCTGTCTGCTCCCTTTATGAAGTATTCCTTTTTTGATTTTAATTTTCTCCTTTTCATTTTTAGGAGACAGAATGATGAAAATGTGACATTAGAAACAATATGCCACGATCCCCAGGAAACACTGTATGGTCACTTTTTGGATGACTATCATTCAGAGCAGTGTTTAATGAGAGAAAAGAAGGACGATGGGGGATTGATGTTCATGTGTTCCTGCACAGGTGAAGAATGCAATGATATGCTCATTTTTACACCAGGTAGGTATTATCATTTACCTTGCATTCCTACATTCCTTGCAAGTAATATTAACTGTATTACACTGAGGATCTTTGGAATTACATTTTGTGGGGAAGAACTTCTAATGGCAGGTGCTATTTTGGTCTTTTTTGAATCTTGCAAAACCACAACCTTTCTTTTCTGTGTTCTGAGGGTTCTTCTTCCTGCCAGGCTGTCCTCATTTTGAAATAGGTCTGATATTTAGCTCAAGATACTGCACTTAAAAGCTGATAGAAGATGAAAACAAGATGTTTATAGTTGTTCTGTTGACAGACCAAAATTCAACACCTGCTCATTCATTATAAAACTAAACTAAAGGCAAATGCTGTTTTTAAGGTCCTCTTCTAAAAAACTGTATTGCCATAGTGTGTTATCTGCACAGAGAGATGTTACTGGTAACCTGATAGGGGGTAACTGACCACCTGCACCTCTCCTGTGGTGGGTGTGACGAAGTTAGGTTCCTTCTCTGGGGAATATGTTCCCTCACACCAAATACGGCACAAGGAAGTGTACGTGAGTTCAGTTAAACCAGGGAAATGCGAGTACAGACCAAACCACAAGTGCATAACCCATCTCCATTCTGCTTCATGAGCTCTGATAGAGGCCATGCAGGCACAGTGCAGGTGTGTGCAGGGCTGCTGGACCTCATACTGCACACATAGATGTGCACAAGTGCATACACCCCTTGTGCTTTACTTTGTCCTACCTGCTGTGATTCTTTTACTAAGATAAAGTCAGGTTTCTCACAGGTAAGAGTGAGGTCTCCTGTGGAGACACTTGTGTACACAAGCTTCTAAAGGGGTGTGGCACACCACACCCATCCTCATCACCCATAAGTTCCTCAGAAAAGGGTATAATTATGTCCTTGTTGCCTGAGATAACAAAGGGTTGGGATGCTGTTTTCACTCCTGGGAAACATGGTGTGTGACTGCACTGAGGTGAAAGACTATGTGAGCGATTGTGGCTCTCACTTCCCAGCCTCCAAGAAGGCCAACTAGTTTAGCTCAGAAAACCACACCAAATTAGCCAAGAGCAAGCTACCAAGTCTCTGCTTCTATTGGCCCAGGCTATCCATATCTGGTGCCATCCCTCATCCCTGTCTTCCTCATCCCCTCCCCAAGCTTGATTTGAAACCAGACAACCTGACTGCTGATCCGTGATTGTATGACCAACCCTTACTTGGGTGATCTTTAAAGGATTTGGAGTATATACTGGTATTGATATGAGCACAAAAGGTACACCCAGGACCTAATTCTAACATATTGCCTTGGTTTTATTGAAGAGAATGTTCTCAGAGAACAGATCTTACTCTGTGTCAGCTGTCTAGTGTTTTTGTACAACGTGAACCACACCCTTGTGGATTTTGGCTAAATTGTTATGAGTTAGCCACGTTATAGCTGTTTTTCCTGGAGCTATGTAGCTGAATGCAATCACTGATAAATGTGTGTCTTTAGTGTGTATGGTTATGAAAACGATTCTAGAAATTCAGCACCAAGTGCCTTCATTCATGTAAACTCTGCAGCTCACTCACACTTCCAGATCAACCTATAAGGAGTAGTAGAAATTTAAACCTAGTCTTTTTACCCAAATTCCTTTCAGTCTTCCAAGTGCAGCCTTTCCTTCTAGGTCACGTGCTGTAAGCAGATCAGATGACTCATGAAAACCATGTGCTGCATTTGTATGTATTAAGTGAATAACTACAGATAAAAATTAAAGTAATGTAAAACTTCACTTTGTAACATTTCCAGTTCATTCACAAACACAGGCATTAACTCCAGTCAGGAGGGGGGAGAATTGAGGCTTTGTCATTCCTTTTTTTATTGTTGTGGATTAGTGTTTCTTTTAAATGAAAACAGCCCCTTTGGGTTGCTTGCCTGGTTAGCCATGGCAGGAAGACAAACGATTTTTACAGTATCAGACATGCGGTTTCCTGTCTGTGTTTAACTTTGAGCAGAACATCACAGCCAGCTGGTCCATGGCTCCTCCAGACAACTAGATAATAGCCTGTAATAATTTTGCCTTTGGAATGACTGTCATCCAGATCTATTCTGTACATTGTTCTTGGGGGGTTTTTTCTCTACATTTCTTGTAGACCAGAACAAGAAATTTTTTTTGCAGTGGTTTTGCACACATTCAATTGTTTTAGAGAGCAAGACAAGAGCTACTCTAAAAAAGCCTGATCAAATGGTGATTTTAATAGTTTATTCACAGAAACTGAGATTTAAAAATTTTTTGCCCGTTAATCACAGCATTTCCTTTTAAGCTATTGCTTTAAATGACTGATGTTTTACCTCTTCTTCCTGTATGCACACTTAAGACAAATCAGATTTAGTTTGTTTCTGAGGTAAGAAGAAAACTCTGGGTAAGGCAAAAAGTTCTAATTTCCACCAAAGGTTAGTCACCAAATTCCAGTGATTCACAGCTGAGCTGTTACTGTTTATGGAAGAATTGGTTTGTAGCACTATTGGCTTGCATGAGTCTTGACGGTGAAGGGCAAAGCTCCTGACTCCATTTTTAGATATAAGCATCTAAAAGTTTTGGGTATTGGAGGTCTTGTGACTTACTCAAAAGTGACTTTGGAAATGCTTGAAGTAATTTCATCAAAATCAAATGCCTGTTTATTTAAATTGTCAATCTGTAAGATAAGCAAGACACAGTCGAACATGTGCCTAAACATGCCTGTAGTTCTGCTTTGTCAGGGGACTGACTCTGATTCAGATCCCTGTCATTCCAGGCCACTGGCAGCTGGTGGAAAATACTGAGTGCAGAATCACTGCAAATAATGTTCTGTAGTTCTTGGAGAAATAGCATGCAGGAGACAGGTAACAATTGTAAATCTGACTACTCTGTTTATTTTTTTAATCCCTCCCTTTTTTGCCAAACAAAATTGTGTGTAACTGGCTAGCAGCTTACAGTCCTGTGGTGGAAAAATGCTTCTCACAGCAAATCTCAATGCCAGTGTGTTATAATTATTATTTATTCAAAAATCTAATGTTAGTGTTACCAGAAGGCAAAGCCAGGGAGCAAAACCACTGGAAAAGATTAGCCAGAATCAGAGGTAAAAGGCCTTGGGTGGTGAAAAGTTGGCTAGATGGCAGAGGCCTGGTCCTTCTGTCGTGGAAAAAATGAGCCCAGGACTAGACTATGAGGGTTTTTACTCCCTGATGTCTGGTTGTGTCTGGTGGATCTCCCGCATCATGCTTTACCATCTTCTACTTCAATCTACTGTGATGAATCAGGTCTGTCTGTAGTTGTTGGCACAGTCCCACTCCTGCCCTGATGTTTGGGCAGCTTTGTTCCTCAGCTTTCCCTTCACCACATCTCCCAGCCCTTAGCCAGGGCAAGCATCACAGGTGCCTAACAAAGCTGGGTTTTATTAGCAGTCCCAAGTTCTTTGCCTGAAGTCGGGCCTTATTTACCCTAAGGGACCAAGCAGGACTGTGCCCTTTCCAGCCCCACATCTGACCCGTTCTCCATGGACAGAGATGACCAGGTACTCATCGTAGACAAGAAAATGGTATTCCTGCATGTTAGTGCATGACCTACCTACCTGATGTGTCATGCAACTCCTTCCTCTTGTGCAGCTCATTTAGACATTCACAGTCAATCAGCAATATGCAAACCAGCAGTGGAGACTGCAAACAAGAAAACAAATAAATAAATACTTTAAATAAAAACTTTAAATACTGTTGTCAATATATGTGCCGTTGTTATCCTGGGCATCAAATTCAAATTCAGGCAACAGTGCAGAGAACTCCAAAGTTGGAACCAGGATTTCAACACAGCTCTGTTTGGTTTACAGTTGTTTCATTCTAATAACTTACATGGTGATGTTTTTTTATTGTCACCTGTCTCTTGCCATGCTATGCAAATCTCCATGCAGCTTGCAACCAAGTTGTCTGTGGGATTGTTCAGGTAGACTGTGTTTAGTGCTCACTTACTGCAAGATGAAGTCATTATTTTGGGCATTCCCACCACACCCAAATATAAGAGAAACCTCTAGCAGTAACTCTGAACCATCCAGAGAGGTGCCTTGAAATAGCATAACCTCAGTGATAGAGATGACTGACAGGTCAACAAGTGTTTATGAGAATAATGAAGCTAATTGAGGAAGCTTGTCAAGCGAGGGAGGGTGTTGTGCTGCTAAAAAACTTCACATTGATCATGGTTTAACAGAGATGGCCAGAGTATAAGAGACATGCCTATTTGATTAATCAGTTGTGGCTGAGTCATTTGCCTGAATGAATTACAGCCTGTGGATTTGCAGTCAAGTTCTGTGACTGCTCACTGTGTACAGTTGTTACCTGGGAGAGCTGGTGTTGCTCTGCTGCCTGAACCACCAGAAGCATGCCTGTGTGATGCCTTGTCCTGTGCCCAGACTGCAGGAGATATGGATAATGCTTCAAAGTGTCCTTAACTTTGTATCTCTCATTTGTCTCTAATATGTTGTCCCTGTCTTTTCCTTTCTTTCTCTCCTCTTCCTCTCCTTACTAGAGTCAAAGTTTTAGTGACTTTACTTGACTACATAGGAGGATCTCAGACTTAAGAACAGACTTAAGATCTGTGCACAAACAGTCACCAGTCCATAAATACTTACGTGATGAGTTGTCCGGTGCTCAAGGAACATCAGAAGGGAGATGATTTCAGCTGGACTGCTTCCAAGTGAATTTTAACAAAGGCTTTCATTAATCTCTTTTTCTGTTATACAACTAACATGTTCAGAAGGTAACTGTCTTCCAGCTGCCCCATAAAAGAGGTCAGTAACATTACATAACATTGCACAGAGCCTCTCACTGCTTGTATGTTGGCTTTGTTCTCTATGTTTCCTCTTAGGTATTTGCAGGCGCTAGAGTCCCACCCAGTGCCTGCAGCTGTGTGTAGCCAAAGGAGAGGCTGTCTAATGCTGAACATCTGATTCACTTAATGGCATAGAAAGGAAATAGAATGAAAAGAGGCTAAAGAAGCCAAAATTTTGTTTTGC